ATATCATTGCTGGATTCCTGTTCCAGTTTATCCCACCCAACGTGCTCAAGAAATTTTGCATTAGCACTACAATAAACATGAGCTGTGCCTTGATCCGAGAATCTAAACGATCTATGGTTGGCCTCATAACCCACAAAAAATAACTTCTTAGCTCTATGTTGCCCTTTCAGTCTTACTTGTGAGGGAATACGCACCCATGCTGGAGCTCCAAATGTGTGTAGGAAACTTAAATTTGGCTTTCTGACATGCAAACGAGTGAATGGTAATTCACCAGTTGTTGTATTTACTACATTGTTTAAAACATGGTTGCTACACATTATGGCCTCACCCTACAGTGTTTCAGGCAAACCTGAATCAGATAATATAGTACAAGCCATGGCTTGTAACATTTGCCCTCTCCGTTCTACAAACGAGTTATGTTGTGGTTTGTAAGGTGCAGAACGTTTATGCTCAACACCAGCCAATTTTAACATAGTTTGGAATTTTTTGTTAACAAATTCAGTCAATGGGTTTATCAAAAACATTCCAACCAGGGATGGGCTTCAAAAATTTTAGCAAAGGGTTCTCTGCTGGGTGGCCATGGCCATGGTGGGAGTGGCCTAGTTGGCCTCCTGCACCACAGTGGGAGGGGAGTTTGTCCTCCCTGGGCTCCGGAGGCTTTCCTCGGGCCTCCTGGAGGACAAAAACGGCCTCCCTGGGCTTCGGAGGCTCTTTGGAAGCTGGAAACAGGCCTGTTTCCGGCCTTCCCAAACTCCTGGGAGGCCCGTTTTTCACCCTTCCCGAGTCTCTGCACATGCCCTGCACTTACCTGCATCCAAAATGGACTATGTGGGGACTCCTGGGAGGGGAGGGGAAGGGTGCGCTGAGACAGCCAGGAGTGGGATTTGGGGGTTCCATTTGGGGACAGAATCTTAGCTAGGGGCTCTCCCAAATCCCTGCCAACTCCCAGCAGCCCACCCCTGATTCCAACATTATTGCTGTAATTTTACACTCTGTTGATCTTTTCCTTGTCTTGCTCAGCCATTGATCAGGGCTGCCCAACAAGGCTTTGCCAGGAATTCAGTGTTTGCATGCCTGATAAAATCACGTATCTTCAGTGTGATTTGATTGCTTTGGGTGATGCCAGTTTTGGCCACAAAACCCTAAATGGCACAGGGCCCAGTTATTGACAGGGCTGACTGGCTGACTGCCCCTTGATGGGCAAAGAAACCATTTACTATATTATTACCTTTAATTAAGCAATTATCTAGTTGGTCATTGAATTTCTATTCCACCCATAAGATGTGGCTGATATTTTAGAGCAACGAATACTGACCAGTTTGTGACTCTCTGTTCTTTTCTATTAAGACGTATCCTGAGGGGGTGGTGAAAAGTATGCTTTGCAAAAAAAAGGTTGTGAAGACAAACAAGGTAACAAGGAAATACTCATTCGCATATGAAAGGTCTGAAAAACTTCAGTAAAAAGGTCTATTTATGAAGCTCCACTGCTACTAAGGTACAAAATACTGGATTAGACAGACCAATGTTTAGATCTGATACAAATTAACTTTTTGGAAATTGTAATAATTATCTGCTTACTGTTGTGTGAGTTCTCTCCTTCCCCCCCCCCCCCCCCAGCCCACATAAATTTGGGCATTTCTGCTTCTTTTTGATCAAGTTGGCAGAATCAGTCTCTCTGACAAAATTTGAAAAGTCATTCATTTTACTTTTATATTGATCAACTCAGACATATGACAAAGTCAAAGGCCTTAACAATAATTTCACACACTTGACTCTGCATTGATGTCTCCCATTTCATGAACAGCTTGCTCTCAGATATAATTTCTGCAGATTAATTTTATAGCTAATTGTACATAAAATGCATAGCAAGACTTTTGAAATACTCTTTATTCAGTTTTATTTGTTCACCCTGTCCTGTGACCTGTGTTAGCCAATAATATATGGAGAAGGAGAGAGGGAAAGAGAGAAAATGATCCTGTTAGGCATTGGCATTTTTCTTTTATTCCTACGCACAGCTTTCTACCATTTCAAGTAGGGAAAATTATGTCAGTGATGTCTACTCTATGAATATTTAATATGCATTAAATACTGAAGGGGATTAAACTGACAGTCTCATTTTTCCTTTTTTTAAATATGTCATGAATAGAATAAAAAATCATTTTGACTCAACATTGAACAGTGAAACATTAAAAGCCATAGAAAACCTGTCTTCTCTAAAACCTTAGTGTCATAAAAATACTAAGATGTCATATAAACAGAACTGAATAATTTAGATGGAAATAATTGGTACTAACTGCTTCCATGACAGCATGGCATTGCTACAGGACCCTGTGGCTTTCAAAAGAACTGAAATAACAGGAGCGTCCAAGGCACACCTATGAAGATAGCACTCCCAGATTACTATGAAGTTTGTGGTAGTTAATGTCAAGTTTCTTCCAAACCAGAAAATATTGATAAACATCTTACCAAGCGCCAGAGAAATCAGGAGATCCAGTAATGCAAATGGGTATAAAAGTCTATGGCAAGCTTAAGTTATCTACAAGAATCTGGACTACTCAAAGTCAAAGCAATTTAGTGGTAGATAAGGAATTCAAGATAGCCTAGACTTAGATCTCTTGTGAGGGCAAAGAAACTCAAGACTGATAATGCTTTTTGACCAGGAGTGGGATTCTACCAGTTCACACCTATTTGCTAGACCTATTAACATTCTAAGCAGTTTGGAAACCAGTTGTTAGAAGAAATTACTGGCCTAATCCTGTAAGGAAGGCAGGAAGGAAACATTCTGATGTTGCTTACAGAAACCGCCTCTCCGTTAACCCTTATTACATTCTTGGCAGGACTAGATTTCCTGTCTCAGGAACTTCTTTGGAGTTTTTTCCCCCTCCTTTGCTGGTACTTTGCTTGTGTGGAGTGACCATTCAAAGTTACAATGGCACTGAAAATAGTGACATGACCATTTTTCACACTTATGACTGTTGCAGCATCCCCACAGTCATGAGAGGCCAGGCAAGGAGATGTGTGCCTCCATGTGAGTGATATTGAGTTGGCCACACACAGCCAATAACATGACCACCAAGCCACACCCACCCAGTCACATGACCACCAAGCCACGCCCACCATGCCCACAGAACCGGTTGTTAAAAAATTGGAATCCCACCCCTGTTTTTGACCCCTCCCTTGGGTTGAGCCTGGTCATTTTCTACACATCATGTTTTTGTGCTGAAGTTTTTCCTGTAAGACAGGAAATTTGTTAGGGCAGTTGGTCACTTCCATTGTTATTTTGTTATGCTGGGAAAAGTTACCCCCTCTCTGTTAAAATGAAGTCACCCTTAAATTGAGCTGAACTCCTGGTAATTGAGAATTGCATAGTTTTCTTGGTGAGAGTATGGAAATTGCTTTCCACTGCCATTTTTTCAGGATTTTTTTTTTAATTTCTGAATCTAATTTACACTAAAATTCCCTGTTGTCATCTCCTCTAATTACTAACTTTAGTTAACTTCTGAGTCCACAAAAAGCCAGAGATTGCTACTTGCGGAAACTTCTGTTTATGTTACCTCAATATTGGGACACACAATGGAAGAAATGGAATTTTATCCTCTGCAGCCCCAATAGTGTGAAAAGCAAAAATGTTTTCACCACAGCTATCTTGCAGAATTAACAGGTGACATTTTCCCTTTGCTGTAGAAGCAACAAAGAAGCTATTTTCTTGGACTCTATATGCAATTTTCTGGGCTTGGAAAACCTGTTGCCCCAACCAGTCTGCTAATTACTAGCATTAATTAGATAGGTCCCTCACTTAATGACCTGCATGATTTATGACCATATGACTGTCATAAGTCGATGTAGCTATAGCCCACTTGTTCCATTTTGTTCTGGATGGCTGATGAATCGGATCTACTAGCTAGGAGTGGGGGAAATAATATATAATACAAATATTTTCTCATGTTCATTGGAAGAGCTGAAGAAGCCGCTTGCTCTATATAGTAAAATCAGGACCTTCGTGGAAGCGAATGCTCCCTTATGACCGGAAATAAACTGTGAATGCAATAGCCACCTCATGTATAAATCCGTTAGGGCAGGATGAAAAAGACAAGAAAATAATTTTTTTGGTTGCATTTTTATTTCCAGAGATTCCCCTGTAGATGCAAACCATGTCATGGCAGGCAGCAGCAACATTTCCCCCTTCTGCTTCTGGCATCTTCCAGAAGTTTGGGCGAGTTCTTCATCTGCAGGGAACACCCAAAAACCACGAACTTGGCCTTTCAAATACATGCAACAGAATTGTTTCCAATTTTTTATCGTTTCCTCCACACAATAAGAAACATGCTCCCTGAAGTATCATTTGCACTGCACAAAGGCCACACAACTCTTTTGAGCGGTTCCTTTTGGAGTTCAAGTCTCCCCTCCCATGTAGGAAAATAAATTATAGTTTTGATGGCACAGAAACGGGAAGAAGAAAAGTATTTAAAAAAAAAACATTTTAAAAGAAACGGGTTCCAACTGCAAGCCAGGGCGGCTAAAATGGACCAAGGTTCCTGTGCCCAAAGATAAACACAGAAAAAGGCCCGAGGCCTCCTAAAGTCGAGTTAACCGCATTTTTTATTTTATTTTTTTGCACCCGGCTTCGAGCCTGGCGGACTTCAACTCCCAGAATTCCCCAGCCAGCAAAACCAAGCCAGCCATGCTGGCTGGGGAATTCTGGGAGTTGAAGTCCGCCAGGCTTAAAGTTGCCATGGTCGGAGACCCCCTGGACTAGAATTCGCGCGTTTCGACGCATGAAGGGCAACGGGTGAAGAAGAACAGAGCACGTGACATGGAGGCCCCCGCTGCGCAGGCGCGAGGTTGGGGACGGCCCCCGCTGGATCAGCTGGGAAGGAGGCGTGTGCGCCGCTGCCGTGTAAAAGCCGAGAGAGAGAGAGAGAGAGACAGAGGGAGAGAGGCGCGCAAAGGTGAAAACGTCGGAACGCTTTCCCGAGTCGGGCAAAGGCAGCCAAAAAAAAAAGCTCAGGCGGCGAGCTTGTCGCGCGCGGGGGTTGTGAGGGCGAGGGGTGGGTGGGGGCTTTTTTGAATGATTTCTGCAGCTGGGGCTGAGCCGAGCCGAGCCGGTGCCGGAGGACCGTTTGGCGGCGTTTGTCCTGCGGGGTAGCAGCCCGGTCCTTAACAAGGTCTTTGGCCATGATCGCCCTCCTCTTGTGGGATCATCTCCGGGCGGGCAGCTCCGAACTGGACTGGTGCGAGGATAACTACACCATCGTGCCCATCATCGCCGAGTTTTACAACACGGTGCGTAAAAAAACAACAACACAAAAACTTGGGAGCAAACCGTCCCGCGCATCTCTCGGCTTTTGCCAAAAGGAAGCGGGGAGAGAGCGCGGCGCTGCGTTTTGCGCTGGGTTTTGGAAGGGTTTTTGCAAAAAAAAAAAAAAAAAGTTGCGTTGCTATGCACGCTAAGCCGGGCCTGGGAGCAGCCGCTCCTGGGAATGGCCCGGTTGGAAGCTCCTCGCTTGCTTTTGATGGGCTGGAAAAAAGAAAAGGGACCTGGTTGCATCAGGTGGTCTATGTGTGTGTATGCGTGTGTGTTGCCCTGACTGCTCCGTGTAACGTGGTGGAAGAAGGTTTGTAGCTCGAAATGTGCCATTTGGGGTTTGCAAACCACGATTTCCTGGCTTGACTCTGCTAGAGAGCCACGATTTTAACCTGTGAGGATGTTAAGGTCGTCCGGTGCCTTTATTATTATAATAAACTTTTATTCGTTAAACGTGAAACTCAGTCAACTGAACATTTCAAAATGTATCACAAATATCATTGACTGGCACTGAGGGTTGATATGGGTTGCTGCCAGCATCCTAGGTATCAACCAAGTATTATTATCTTCATCATCATCCTCATTATTATCTTTTATTCATTAAACATGAAACTCAGTCAACTGAATATTTAAAAATATATCAGAAATAATATTAACTAATGCTAATGGTTGATACGGGTTGCTGCCAGGTCCTACGTTTCATCATCATCATCATCATTCTTCACACAGTCAGCCAGATATTCAGACTGGGTTTGGCATTTTTGTCTACTTATCGAGTCCTTACCAAGGACCTGGGATAGGCAAATCTGGATGTTTGATGGTGTTACAGATATCCCGGCAAGATGGAAGCTGTTCCAAGTAAAGCTGCCTTCTGCAGTTGACTGATGGCAAATTTGTCAATGCCTGTGTGGTTCAAGTGCTGGTCCAGTTGTTTTGGGAGTGCACTCAAGGGTGCCTATTACTATTGGTACTACCCTTGCTTGCCTTTGCCATAGTCATTCTATTTCTATTTGTAGGTCTTTACTATTATTATTATTATTATTATTATTATTATTATTGTTGTTGTTGTTGTTGTTGTTGTTGTTGTTGTTGTTGTTGTTATTATTATTATTTATCAATTGCAATAGAATTCTATGAGGTTTTTGCTATGCGTAAACTTTGAATAGACCAGCAGTTTTCAAACTTTAGTAAAACTTTTTACAAAGTGCTGTGGATCTCAACTCCTAGGCTGCAGGATTCTGGGATTTGAAGATCCACAGCTTCCTAAAGTGGCTAAGATTTGAGGAATCAACTGGAATAAGGCATGCAAAGAGGAATGTATTTATTTAGCAGGTTGTACATTGCTTATACATATTCCTGGGTGGCCTAACAACGAAAAACAGAAAAAACAAAACCCATCAAAATTAAAAACAACAGAAATAGCAGTGGAAACACTCAAGGGAAACCCCAAAATGGGCTCATCCATGATACCAGGGCCCAGGCTAAATGGCAAAACCATTTTTTAAAAGGCAGCAGAGAACAGTTACTTCATTTGATTTTATACCTTATTACACCTTATTACAGTAATAGTTACATTTGGGTCTTAGGTAACCACATTCACACAGCACAATTAATCTGGTTATTGAATTAATCCCCCTTTTTTTGGGTCTGCAGAATATATTGAAGCATAACGCTTACTAAACTGATGTTAACGCTTACTAAACTAAACATAGTACACTATGCCACCCAAAACGATAACCAAGTTTAGCATGTTGTGAACATTTAGTTGTAAATGTTTGGACCTGCTTAAGTTAATCTAGTTCGTTTCTGATCAGTTTAAATGCAGCTTGATCACAATTGTTGAGGGTTTTTTTTTTATAATACGAAATATGTAAAATCAGAAGGATGACAGAAAAGTTCCAAAGTTATGAATATGTATTCTTATTCCAAGGGTTTGTAGCTTTGCTGGATGGATTGTTTTTAGTTTTTAGTTAAGCAACTTCTTTGGAAGCGATTTGCTTTTCATATTGGAGGATAAAGCTTAAATGTATTGCCCTTGATTAATAGAACAAAGCAACGGTCTCAAATATTGCAGTCATTTTAAATCTTGCTTTAGGAAAAGAGGATTCTGGACAAATTCAGTTACGTTTAAGAGGCTATAGTACTGGTTGGCAAACCTCCACGGTTTTACATCGTTGTAGAAATTGTGATAAATAAAGGCATAGCTTCGAAAATACTGAAGATTTTGATTTCACCATGCAAATACGTTTGCAAAACTTAACCTGCGTACACTTTTCCTGTCTTCTAAGTTTAGTTATATTACTTTTTTTTGTTTGGGCATAAAAGAAGATAAACCAAACAAAGTAAAAAGTCAATGTACTTCCTTAAGTGGAGATGATTTTGTTAACTTCTTCCTGCAATATTTTCTAAGCTACCTGTAGCTCCTGTAGTAGGAATGAAGTCATTTGTTCTCCTGAAACTGTTTTATGATATTACAGCAGAAAGAGGTTGTGTTTGGAACAAATCGTGACAATAGTGGCATTTTGTTAATGACAGCAGCTGGGATTACTGTCACTAAGCAAAGCATGTGATATCATGCTTTAGAATTGCATTGTTTAGTGACAGAAATGTCAGTTCCAATTGTTGTAACTTGAGGACTACTGTGGTTAATTTTCCGGCACCCTTGTAACTTTGAACGATCACTAAATAGAGCAGCCATTAAGCAAGTACTCCTTGTTTGTACTTCCCTGGGCTAGATCCAGGCTTGAAGGGATCTGAATAACCTTTTTCTTCTAATATCCACTGTAGCTGAAGCTTACCACCTTCTCTCGAAATCGTCCCTCAGAGAGGAAATGGGAATTGATTCTGATATAGATAAGAGAATCTTTATAGTTCCTTTTTTCTGTGAACACACTAGCACACATTAAAAAAATGAAATTCTGATGCCTGCTCTCAAATATACACATACACACACAAATGACACACCATTTAGAATAGATAGCAGAAAAAAGACTTGAGAGTTAACAAAGTTGATACTATACGTATGAAACTATTGCAGAATCTAGTTCTGTCTCGGTATCACAAACTCTCATCCCAGAAGATAACAAAGAAAACCGTTCATGGAGAGGATGTGTCTCCATGAGTTTGTCAGACAACCCAGTGGACCCTGGTCAAGCAGCTCTTATATGCCATGTCCTGGATAGAAGGGAGTGAATTTCCAATCATCTTTTCTGACTTCCTCACCACTCTCTACACAACTTTCCTACAGTAATACAAAAATACCCCTGGATTAAGACGATCCAGCAATTCAGCAACATCTACTATCCCTGAAGAAGCTGGGTAGGGGGTTGGTCAACAGATGGCAGAGCTTATGCTATGACCAACCGTCTTTGACCTCTTGATCTCTGCAAACTCCGAAGAATCCCTGATTGTCTCACAAAATCTTGCTCAAATGATACTGAGCAAATGTGAGCAATTTTAGCTGCAATATACATACATATACATATTGCATATACATACATACATACATACATACATACATACATACATACATATTTGTTTTTGTAGATTTTCACGGGTACAGGTATGCAGATCTTGGCGTGTTCGGGTCTTTTCCCGTGTAAGGTTGAGAGCATCTTGACAATGTTTCGATGAGGTCCCACTCGCCATCTTCAGGCTAGTGCTTTCAGCTTCGTGCTTTGCTCACACAAGCACAAAGCCGAAAACACCAGCCTGAAGATGGCGAGTGGGACCTCATCGAAATGTTGCCAAGATGCTCTCAATCTTACA